AAGGTTATCACAAATATTTCAGTATTAAAACCACATTTCTTGATACTATTTGAAGTTGCGCTTTACTTTACTTTGATTGTTTAGAGCCTCGGCTCTATACAAACTGCACCTTTTGAGAACTACTATGTGATTATTTTAAAAAATAAAGATATTTAAATTCCTAAACAGTTAGATATGAAATTACACTTCTCTTTCCAATGTGAGGACTTCACTTTTTTAGATATATAAAATGCGTATGACTCGTTGTTTTTTTTGAAAAAAAGAAAAGAAGGTTGGTCACTAGGTTGATGCGGTCGCATCCCTAAGATTTGTGGTCCTAAAATTAAGATTTGGAGTCCTAAAAGTTAGTTAAGATTTTAATAAAGGGCGCGAATGCCTAATATTATCCGGAAGGATAGAACCTTTTGGCATACTTTTTATTTCATTAGTCATGAATACTAAACTAGTTTAGGCAAAGCCCCTAACTATGCAGTATTTTTTCCAAAAGGCTCAAAACAAAGTACAAATAATTAAGCCACGTGGAAGTGAAAATCAAAGGAATTGTGGCTTTCTAAGCAAGTCATGGCATTAATGGCCCGTTTGATAACTTGGAGATGGAGGTTCATTGGAAACTTGAAGTTCTTCATTTCCAGAAGCTGGATTTGTTAATGTCTGGATTTGACAAATGTTATGTTTAATAACTTGTCTGGAATTCTAAGAAGCCTGGAACCTATATTTAATTGAACCTTGGAATTTTCGGAGCCTGGAGATATGAAAATTAGCCGCTTTAACTGTTCATTGAAGTTCTATCACGAGAGGATTATATTTGCTTGATGACAGAGATTCTAAAATCAAAGTCATCTACGGTGTGTAAACAAAATGCACAGTCTAGATAAATAAAAAAGAAAAATTAATGCAGTTGGACGTTTGATAGTATGACAAATTATCTGAATTTTATTTTGTTATTCATGCATCAAATTGAGTCAAAATATTCGTTATCCATACTTCTGACCCCATGGACTCGTGAAAAGTATAAAAACGTATTTCAAAAAATGAAGTGGCCAAGATACCTCTTAAATATTGAGGGGTTTTATGGTCATTTTAATTTTAAATTATTTTATACGGATGCGCTTTAACAAGGCACACATACTCCAAATTCATCTCGATCTAATACTAAAAAAAAAAGGCAATGAATATTAGATTAACATTTTTAAAATGACCAAGTAGGCCACATTGTAATTCTCTTGAGTTCATCAATCCCAACTGTGAGATCTTGATAGGATGGTCAATAACATGTCGAACTATTCAATTATTTTTTGTATTTAAAAAATAAAATAACCATTATAATCCCAAAACTTTGAGAGTATTTCGATCATTTAATTTACTTGAAATTATTTTTATCATTGTGATGTCGAGCTAGAAAGTCACAATCAATTTTAAACATGGTAAGGGTATTTCGAGCACCACTTAGAAGGGGTGATTTGATTCAAATGAAAGAGAAGGCCCAATAGAATTTATAAAAAAAAAATTTGTGACTTATTTTTAGCTGAATTTATGATTCTTGATAGAACATAATCACATAGTAATGTTTGTATAACTAACCCTAAATAATTGGGACACGGCCAGCCAGATGATGATATCGAGGTAGAAACCCTTGAATAATATCGGGCTAGAAGCTTTTCATTGAAGGTTAAAAAACCAAGAAAACGTGCAATGAGTGTCCCTGACTTTGATCTGATTGCAAGGAAGTCAGTGTTACCATTTCATCTCCCTAAACATGTTACCTCAGATCTTAACGCTTGTCAAAACTCTTAGCAGAGCAATGGACCAAGGTCAGAGCATGATCTTTGTATATAACTTTGGATTAGGCTCTAGAGCTGATTTCCTTGATCAATAAGCAAGTGATAAAACTTCAAAAGCAATTAACAAGGCTTACAGTGTGCGAAATACTTTTAGCTGAGGTCAATTATTTCAGGGTCTAATTACCCAATTTATTTATTTATTTATTTTTTTCAAGGTTTGCCCTCTTTTAAAATTTTTCGAGCACTCTTTGAAATATAAGAGAGCTGGGTATATTCAAAAAGGAAAAAGGTTATATAAAGGCGAGGCCCTAAACCATCAAATTAAAGCGCATCTAAAAAATTTACTAAAATCCTCGAATTGATCATTTCGATCTCAAGATGTATTGACATGAGAAAAAAATTGATTTAAAGCATTGAAAATAGTGCATCTTGTGATGCATTTTCGGATCGTCAATTTTCATGCTTTTCAAGTGTCCATAGATATGCTAGATATACAATATTTTTCAAGCAATAAATTTTATAATTAGAGATAAAAATAAAATTTCAAACCAACACAAGTTTTCGACATTGAAACAATATCTTTCAACACTATTTAAAGGTCTGTCTGACTTTGATTATTTAAGGCCTCGCCTTATACATGTGCGTAGAAGCTCTAAACCCAACGGGTTTATTTTTGGCAAATAAAGTACGAGAAATAAAGCATGAAACACACATCAGAAGAACACAAAGATTTATGTGGTTCACCCCAAAAGGGCTACATCCACGGGCACAATAAACAGAAATTCACTATATCAATGAAAGTTACACCAAAGAATTGAAACAAACCTCGACAAAAACATAGTCGACCAAACCCTTTTAAACCACTCTTAATTCCTTCTTTCTTTATTTTTGACAACCATTGCCGATTAATATTAAATAGAGACGCGAGAGCAATGAGAAACTGATTTTCTCTCTAAGTAAAAGAGAAACAACCTAAAATCTCTCTGAGAATAACTTCTTTAGAAGAAACCAACCTCTCACTATACAGGAGTGTTCAGGAGGAATCACCAATGTTTCTCTTCAAAAGAAGTTTTTTTCTCTAAAAAGAAATTGCATCTTATGCACAAGAGGCACTGCCTCCCTCTCTCTCCAGAGGAAACCATCATTCTCATATGGTGACCCAAATTGGGCACATAAATTCTATGCACTTTCATTCCATATATAGAAGATTAGAAGTTCACACGATTATTATTTCTTTTAAGAAACTTATCAATATCAATTTTAGTTCTACATGACTATCTCAATCCCACATAATATGGGATTTTCTTATATGGGTGATTTTGGATAGCATCAAATCCAACAATCGCCACCTTGATATCAAAATCACATGCTCACCATATCAATATCCACTGGATAGCTTCATAAATTCTTCATCCTTTACCAAATAAATTCCTCCATCATTTTTACTGAAAAATAGTGTTTGCCATCAAATTTCTCCACCTCCAACTTTGTATTCGAAACCTTTACCGCTGTACCGAAAACCCTAAATCAAGGCTCTAATATTACTTGTTATGGGTGGGAACTTTAAACCTGACGAGTTTATTTTTGGGAAATAAAATACAAGAAATAAAGCATGAAACGTATATCACAAGAACACAAAGATTTACGTCGTTCACCCCAAACGGGCTGCATCCACAGGCACGACAAACATAAATTCACTTAACTAATGAAAGTTACACCAAAGATTTTGGAACAAACCTCGACAAAAACATAGTCGAGCAAACCCTTCTAAACCACGTTCAATTCGTTCTTTCTTTACTTCTGGAAACCATTGCCGACAACACCAGATAGAGATGCGAGAGTAACGAAAACTGACATTCTCTCTAACTAAAAGGGAAACAATCCAATATCTCTATGGGAACCATTTCTCTACAAAAAACCAACCTCTCACTCTGTAGGAGTCATTAAGAGGCACCATCAATGTTTCTCTTCATAAGAAGCTTTCTTTTCTAAAAAGAAATTGCATCTTATGCATAAAAAGCTCTGCTCCCTCTGTCTTTAGAGGAAACCACCATTCCCATATGGTGACCCAAATTGGGCAGACAAATTCTCTATACTTTCATTGCATATATATAAGATTAGAAGTCCACATTAAATAGGAAACTTCCCATAGATATTATATATATCTCAGAAACCAGGAGATATATCCAAGAGTCTTAATCCTTTTTGGATTTCTATTTCCTTCAGGAAATTTATCGATATCAATCTCAATCCCACATAATATGGGGATATCTCAATCCCGTATAATACGGGATTTTCTTATATGGGTGATTTTGGATGGCACCAAATCCAACAATACAAATCACACCCATATAGAAAAGATATGTCAAAAGTTACTGAAAAAAGTAACAAAGTGGTTAAAAGCCTTATCCACTATTCACATTTGGGCTTCGTTAGTTAACCAACCAATAGACTTTAGTCCTGGTTAGACACAGGTCACTCATCTAGCGACAACTTATCAACGATGAAAGATTGAGGCTTAACTCTCATTTTTTACAAGGACTATATTTTTTCAGCCAACTACCATCAAACAAATGGGATTGTATACAATGAGACCATCTACCTTGGTATAGGGAGGTCACAACTACTTATAGCCATGCGATGTGAAATCTGATAGCTTGGGTGTGTCACAATGTTCGAAAAGATGTCTTTTAAAGTTTGAGCTTGGTCAATGAAATAAATGCAGCCACCCAATTTCAAATCCAATGGTTAAGATTAAATGTAATCACCTTGTACCAAAGGTAAATGATCTTATTATATACTTTTCCCAAACAAATAGGATTGTATGCTATAAGACCGTTTGTTTTTGGTACAAGGAGTTCACAATCATTTTTAGTCATTGGATATAAATTTCAACGGATTAAAGTGTCTTAACATTCGTGAAATTTTATATTGGGCTGCATGCCTAGTCTATGAAACATCTCTAACACCTGATTTCACATCTTACGGTCTATAATAGTTGTTATCTCATTATACCAAAAGTAAATAGTATTCCTGTATATATTTCTTGGATTGTCTACAAAAAGACCATTTACCTTTTATACATAGATGTCACAACTAGTTCCACTCATCAGATGTTAAATTGGATAGTTTGGGGTGAGTCACGAAGTCCAAGATTTTTTTTGGAATTTTGTATCCAATGAATAGCACTCTTACAACCACCCATTTTAAAATCATAGGTATAAGAATGATTGTGACCTCCTCATATAAAAAGTAAATGCTTTCGTTGTAAACAATCCCATATTTTTGAAATAAGAACAAGACGAGAAAATGAAGTTCACAACAGACTGATATTCTTCTCCATGTAATATCACTACTTGAAAAGCATCCATGAAACCATCACTCAAAGGTTAGCCAACTTAACAGCACACCGACTACTGCTCTCTAAGCATGGAGGAAGACACCCACAAACAATATTGTGCTAATCTCTCACTGAGAATAGAAACCAACATCTTCTTCTTCATCACTTACGGAAAAAATTCCTCGAAATCGTATCGGCTAGTGCAGTTGTGAAAGATGGGTCTCTTGTCAAAGAAGAAGCCAAAATTTGAACTAATAGCTGCTGAGAAATGCTGTAATTTGATGAAACTCGAGCTTCCCTTTCAGGCCTTGGGCCTTCTTGGTTCAGGGATGTTTGAGTAAGGTCTAGAGTGATAGTGGGGAAGGAGTTAGAGAGAGAAATAGAGGAGCAAGGAAGAAAGGGTGTGGATGGTGCAGAGGCTAATGGTTCTGGTCTTATAATGTCTAAAGACTCTAAACCATCAGGTGCATCCAATGAAGTAGGTAAAGGGTGAGTGTGCACCCCTTCATAGGCAGCCACTAGAATGGAGCTGTCATCTGCTCTTCTTTGCACCTGCAAAATTGGATTGCAAGCACCAAAATTTAGAGTTAGAGAGAGAGAGAGAGAGAGAGAGAGAGAGAGAGAGAGAGAGAACTAC